AATGGCGAAGAAATTTGGCGATACTGATTGTTCAACTAATATGCGATCAATAATAATACAACCAAATCCTGCTTAATTTCTAAAAAATGAAAGAAATAAATTGAAAGATAGATGGACTTAATAACTTAATAGAAAGAAATGTGTTATTTTCAAGAAGTATCACTAAATTATCAAAGATAAATTTAATATGCAAGGGAGATTTTTTGCAGTACGCAATGGAATTATAAATTTATTTATTTACATAAAAGTGAGATAGACGTAATTTACGTGATCGTATCAAAAGATTACATTGTTAATTTGTATTAGATAACGTTGTATCAGCGTAAAAAATTAGTACTCAATAGGTTAACAAATTAAACAGGTAGAATTAAACAAAGTAAACAAATTAGTTAATCATCGTTTTTCCATTACTAATTGAATTTCATTCAATCTATTCAAATTATCTAATCAGAATAAAATTTAATCATCGATTAAATTAACATTATCAAATCATTTGTAATTCAGTGTTAATTTAATTTGAAACTGAAAATTTTAAAATTCTTCCGATTTTATCAAACTTTTAATTAATTTGTTGTAATTTTTCTTCGCGAGTTCTTACACGTAAAGTTCACAATTGAATTTAAAATGTTCTAAAATGTATAAAATATTGAATAAAATCAAAAAGGAAAAATTTGTTTATCAAAGTGTCAATTACAATTATAAAATTAGCGATTTAAATATGAAATCATACAATCGATGAAATTGGATCGATGAACAAATTAAGAAAAAATTAATTCCATTGTTTTATAAAAATTAGCAAAGCAATGAAAAAAACAAATTTCATAGTTAAAAGAAATATTTATAAAAATTATTGTTAACGCAATACTGAGATCTTCTGCGATAAAATTATCATTCTTAAATTTCAAAAAATTTAATTAAAAAATTGTTTGATTTATTTTGTGGTAGAACAGGTGCAAAATGATGAAAAGGTGTTGATAAAGAAGTGATAACGAAGAAATAATGGGTAAATTAAGAAGTTGGGATTTTCCCTACTTCAGGGAAATGAAATTTTACAAGAACTGATAACAATTTTAGATGCCTAAATAATTAGTCATAAGGTGGAATTAAATTGAATTATTGATTAATCATTCAAATGATATAGAGTAGAAGAGATTTTAACAATAATAACAATAATTTAATTAATTAATTGTTGCCAGAGGTTATTATTTCACTGTTTTAAATCATTTCAGGTTTTTAGATTTTGTAGTACTACGGAAAAGGGAGAGGAAATGAAATATCATTGATTAATCTCTTTGAAGAGAATGAATAACTTAATATTAATAATCCATTTTAATAAAATTCTTTCATCATAATTTCTGCGAATAATGTATGAACTTACGATCGCATTTCATTTTCAAATATTTCACTTTTAAAATTGAAAATCTCAAATGTCAAAATTCGAACTTTAGCCTATTTTTTTTGTTTCTTTTTAACAATTACTAATTAATCAATAATTATCTAAAAAACTAATAAGCTTTTTAAAATTCTTAAACTTTTAAGCTTTAGTGAATTTTTAAAACTTTGAAATATTTGAAATTTTTAAATAGAAGAAAAATATTTGAAAATTTACTTTTACTTGAAAAAAGATATTTCGCGTTCGATCAATAATAAATTAAATTTGTTTCGAAACTATTAATTAATTTTTCTATGAAAAAGAAATAAGCAAACAGTGAGAGTTATTTCATAACAATGAAATAATTTGCATATCATTTGTTTTTCATTCATTAATTAATCTTTCCATTAAACGTTTAATTTATAATGTTTTTAATTCAATTAAAAATTTTATGAAATAATAAAATTCTTTCTTTCACTTTAATTTTTACTTAATTTATTGATAAATTTCTTACTGATCTTATCTTTTGTAATCAATTTTAAGCCAATGTCAGTGTGATAATATTTAGAACGAAAAATGGTTGACATATAAAAATATAATTATGTAAGAACTAAAAAGTTTCAGTTCTTTATTTGTAAGAATTAAATTAACTTTTTAAATTTTATTTCATAACAAAATTGATATGTGAAAATATTAGAAGGCATCTTTTGTCTTTAACAAATAGTTTTTATTTGTCAAACAAATGATGACAATAATGGATAATCAAATTTCATTTCATATTTATTACCACCAAGCAGTCAATATCTTACCGGCATTTATCAATCAGGTTAATAGTATCTCAAGATATCAAGATATATCGCTTCTGAACTTATCGTTTTAGCTATATTATCTTATCATGATAAATATTGAGATCTTTGTTATCTTTCTTATTCTTAAACATTCTCAAATATTATCTTTATTTTATCAATCGCTTAAGTTATTTTTAAAAAGAAAAGGAAAAATTGAAATTATATAAGAATTAATGAAAACTTCTGAAAATCGAAACTAAAAAATTCAAACAGAAAAATTTGAAGAAATTATTTTGAAAAAGCAAAGAAATAAATTATAAAAATTGCAAGTATTTTCATATACTTTTGCGCGCATAGAAATTAATTAATTCTTTTATGTGAAATCATTTCAAAACTTTTTTTTATCAATTTTTCCGAATGATAATATTTATATCTGTCAACAAGTAATCCATGCAACCATTCGTAAATAATTTATTGTTTGCTTCTGAAAATTTCGACGATGATCATGCACGCACAGTAACATGTGATTTCACAATACTAAAAATCTCTTTACGGGATCATAAATCAATGGCAAATATTGGTTGCATGTAAATTTTTCACGTATTGCTAACAAACAAATACTGTAACAATAACGATAATAACACTTAATGAAAGTAGCAAACAATACATGCAGAAAATACGACAACATTAAATGATCATATAAAACGTAAACTATATTTTATAAATTCCAATCAGTTGAAACAATCATTCATTTCACTTATTATTATTATTATCACTTGATAGCTTATTACTATGCAATGGTTATTAATTTTGCATTGTTTTCATCTTCATATTTTATGAATGTATTACAGTTTTCATCCAATGTTAATAAAACGTTTCGATTCGTTGTAAATTTTCTCATTTCAATCAATTTATAGTATTAGCTAATATATGATAAATTGTAATTATAATATTTTATTAAAGAATATTCTGATTGATTTATTATTATATGTTTTATAAGTAAGTGATTATATGTTTTATAAGTAAGTAGGTAAGTGATAGTATCTATAATCTTTCATTTTTATTCTAAATTTCTTATATATTTTTCTTTCTTTTGTTATTTCACATAATGGATAGTATCTATAGCTATTAGTTAGTGAATTCAATTTCGAAATCATAAAAATTATCATATCTCAAGCGATACTATTAGTGATAAGAATAGTATTTGTAATAATAATTATTACTATTACTTATATTGAGATTAATTTCGAGTAATGCAATCAATAAGGTTTATGTCATAAAATTGGTCTGTGAAAATTTTCTAAGTTTCCTAAGTAACATACAATAAAATCAACATTCCATAACTGGTTTCATTCATAATCATTTTGCTGTAATAATAATTCCTGCTAGTGTTTTATGATAACTATGCAATTGAAATGTTTCATTTGATCATCTTTTCTTTTTAATACTATTTTCTCAATCAAATGATCGTTTATGATTGTAAGGAAAACGATTCCATAATTGACAATTATTGTATTACTATTTTTGTTGTGAATTTTTCATTCATACATATATCAGATATAAATATTGATTAATACTAATATATTAAGTTATTATTGTTTATGCAAAACTATTTTGTAGATATAGCTAGTAAGTATCAATCATTGATTAAGCATTATTATTGATTAAACTATAAATTGTTATCTCCTTTCCTTATTCTTCATATTTGTTTTAGATCTATTGCAATAAGTAACATTTATCTCTTTATATACCTGAATAATATCACATCAAATAAAAATGAAATTGAACCATAAAATGATTTCTTTGTAATTAAATTATCAAATTTGAAATGAATCATTTACTTAACATTCAGTTGAGGTAACTTCAAACCTTTAATATCGAAAAAAGAAACAAAGAAAGCCCTATTTGCAACGAATTAACGAATTTATTAATAATAGACATAATCAATTATAATTCGAATTAAAAACAATTTAGCATAAATAGTCTATAGAATGAACTAATGAAATATCGACCTGAATTACATTTGTTTACTAAAATGATAGAATTTGAACTATTTAAAAAAACAAAATATTGATTTACTGAAATGATAGATTATTTTTTAAATGATTTAAAAAACTATTTTAAACTATTTAAAAAAAAAACAAATGAACTATTTTAAAAAACAAACTATTGATTTACTGAAATGATAAAATTTGAACTATTTTAAAAAAACAAAATATGCTACAATTTTTTAAGTAAACATAAGTTCAATCTGTTACTAATAGTTCATTAAAAAATAAATCAATAATGTATTAATTTGAATAGATGAATGAAATGATCGAAAATAATTGGTGTAATAATCGGTTGTTATTCAGAAGGATAATATTTTGTTTAAACAACAATTTCTGTTTATAAATTTAATTTGTTAGTATGATTGCCTGATGCTATTAGCTTTTGAGAAAAACAAAAAAATGTGAAAAGTTTTAAATTCTCTCTCTTTATTACAACTATCATTTCTATTTCTACTTCACTTCAATTCAAGTCAATAAACAAAATAAAATTAAGGTTACAAGAAAATCGTTGGCTATTGCTAATGAATGAAAGAAATGAAAAGTAGGAAGCCTTACTACTACATATTTTGGTTCAATTTAAAATTAAATCATTCCTTATCTTTTTGTTTTCAATTTTACGTGGAAGCAATTAAGAAGTAAAAATGAAATTTATTCTCAGAAATTTTATATTTTATTGATAGAAAAATTTTTAGCCTTTTTTGGATGACATAAAATTGTATATTATCGATATTCAAATTAAATTTTCATATCAATACTGATAATCAAATGAATTCATTTCAGATTGTTTAAATGTTATTTCTGATATTGCTGTTTTCAGCAGCTAATTTATCTCTGTGTGAAACAACTTGTAAAGCTCCAAATGGTACCGAATCTCATTTTGTTTGGATTCCTTGCTCAGATGGACCGATAATATATCACAGTTTAACAGTGATGAATAAAAATTGTTTGTTTCTTTCTCTGTTAAAAAAGCATATTTATTTAATAATTCTCTCATACACACACACACATCAATGCCATATTCATTTCACTTTACAATCAATAATTGAGTATGGAATTTTTACCGATATGTATTTGATATTGTCCTGTGATAACAAATACTTAAATTCGAATTTAATCAATTACAATCAGTTATTGTTATCAATTATAAAGTAATTTGAAATAGTTAAAGTTCTTTCTCTTTTCATTGAATTGAAAAATTTTGGAAATTTCTGACCAGGTCAGTAAAATTATAAAAATTTCAACATAACAAAAAGAATAAATAAATTACTTGCAGATACTGAGATATATCCGATAGTTGCTATAAAACCATTTATTATATTAGCTAATATAACAAATACTGGTAAACAATACGATAATTTGGAATCATCCATCAAATTATACAAATGGGGTGGATTGCTCGGTTGCTCATGGCATCGAATTCCAACTTTTGGAATACTGTAAGCTATCATAACACTTATTATTATTGTTAGCATTATATAATACTTATCATTATTATCATCAGTATAGTTTAGTCAACTTTTACAACTATATTGTAGATAAATTATTAAAATTTTCAATAATTATCATATTGTTTTTATTAAAAAAACTACAAATAAATATTAATCAAATTTTGAAAAAATCGAATAAAATTTAGAAAGAAAATTTTGTGTTTTAATTTTAAAATGTTTTTATTGTTTCTTTGTTTCTATTATTTTCTCATTGTTTATGGCGGCTGGTTTGTATGCAAAAAAATCTTCCAAAAAAAAGAAATAACTTATTCAAGCTGTCACTAAAATGCATACGATGAAAAATGAAATTTTACAAAAACTATTCCAAACTTCAATTTTATTTTTAATTTCATTTCAGTGATAATTTGGTGCAATGCAACAAAAGCATTAAATGTCCAATAGAATCTGGTAAACAAGAATTATCAGTATTGTTTGATCTGAGCGATATTCGATTCTTTCTTCAAATACTTCCGAATAATATACCCTACAGAATAGAACTTGAAATTTTTGATCAAGAAAAAAAATTATCATCATGCATTGATCTTTGGGCTATAATAACAAATCAGTAGGAAGTGATTGATCTTTCTTGATGATTTTTGATTGTTAGTTTAAATTATTCATATCATTTAATGCTTTATAACACTTTCATCTGCACAAATAAAACATTTTATTACTTGAGTATAATAGAATTAATTTAAATTCGAATTTTTCGTACCGTTTCATTGCCAAAATCTAATTAATATAAATTAGATTTGAAATCATCCAAAATTAATTAATATAAATATTTGGATCTCTTAAATTTGAAATTAATTTACATTTAAGTATAAAAAGGATATCTGAAAAAGAAAAAATCAAGTATTAAATAAAAGGTAATTAAATTTAAGTTATTGCACCATACTCAATGGAATTGATTATAATTAGCATAGGATAAAATCAAAACTTGTTTACACTTCTAAGATTATCAGACTGCTTAAATTTTAAAGTACAGCCATCCTTATGATATTTCTGAACTGCAAAAATTTATGTTAAAAAAATCTTAATTCTAAATTTAAAACTCTGAATGAAAATTAAAAATTATGTGACTCAGAAATACCGGAAAAAGTAAAAACACTTAAATCTGAGCAACTTTAATAATCGTCGAAGTATTAAAAAATTAAATTACGTTGCATTAAAGTATATTATATTGTTTAAGGCCTACTAGATTCTTGTGCCATAGTTATACCTCATTTCAAGTTATACCAATTAAGGCCTACTAGATTCTTGTGCCATAGTTATACCTCATTTCAATTTATACCAATTAAGGCCTACTAGATTCATGTGCCATAGTTATACCTCATTTCAATTTATACCAATTAAGGTCTATTAGATTCTTGTGCCATAGTTATACCTCATTTCAATTTATATCAATAGCACTTCTGCCGTGCTATGCTTGAATTTCTAAAGATACTGAGGAAGAAACTATTCCATTACTGCACTATACCAATGTTTTTTCTGACATACGAATAGAAAGCTAATTTTACGTTAAATTCGATAAAAATAATTTTACGATACTATTTTTATGATACGATTTTCTTGGCACTACTTTGTATACGGTCCACAGAAAATTATACAAAAATTACCATAGAAATACTATAGACCATATAAACTTATACATTATTACAGTGAAACTATTGTTAGCATTAGATAAAGAAGCTAAGACTTGATGAAATGATATGTGATAACTTAGTGAAATGTAAACTTGGCTAAATTCGATGATTCCAGAACAATAATAACGTGAACCAAATGCGATATGAAACTATGCTTTATTGTTGCAATCTTTAAAGTACGAAATGATCATCATGTCATATAATAATTGCATGCTATATGCTTTGATGTATTTGATATGCAAGATATTAAATATCAAAACCATTCCGTTTGAATCGATCCATTCAACGGATATTAATTTTATCATACAAATCAGTTATGAACCAAATTCAAAACTGAGAATATTAAAAAAATATCATTCATAAATTCTCATCATAAATTTCATTTCATTTTATTAAGATTTTTGAGTAATTTTATAAAATTACTTCATTATTTCTTTTTTCTCCAAAAAAAGATTGTTTACTTTCATAAATTTTCAATAGGAAATTTTAGAATTTATTTTAAAAGTTTCAATAAATAATTGAAAGATAAGCAAATAGCAGAAAGATAAGATCACTAAGTTGCAAAAGTGAATCTCACAAAATGTTAGGCCTCACAGACATTGCACGCCGATTTCATACTACAAAGAATTGTTATGTTTTTTCGCAACTCGGATATGGCTCCAGCCATCAGCCATCTTCAATAATTGTGTGTCTAACAGTTTCTTAGATTTAACCACGAGAGTGTTATTTTGTCTTCAAAGAGATATTATGTGCAGATCCTGTCATTCTCCAATTTCCCGAAAAACATTGTACTTTGCAAGTCGTAGCATTTTTTGATTTCCTAAGAATGTTATAAAATATAATTGTATCATTCTCTAATTCGATTAAAATGTTCTATATTACAAGTTCTATTAGGTAAACTTCATGATATCTTTGTACTGTTTATGTCATTCATTAACGCTACGTCGAAATAATTAGTGAGATTTTTCATGAATAAATAGTAGTATCATGCAATTTTTGGACATAGTACAGCCAAAGATGTTTTTGTTGCATTTCAACCAGTTAGTAATTAATATGTTTATGTATAATTTCTACATGCACTTTTACTTGTGCATTTGTTTAGTTATTTCTTTCTTACACACGTATTGCAGTAATTGCTTATATATTTGTGTTACAATTTTACTTATGATGAAGATTCGAAACCGAAGTTGTGAATTCTTATCAAATGAAGAAAGAAAAGATATTCATTTCTTTCTGGATTAAAAATTTTCAGATTTTTAGAAAAAATCTGTCGTTTTTGTCATCCTTGGAACTAATCAATTGGTTAATAGGATGCGTTCGAGAAGTGATTCCTGCGTACGTTTGGATTGCTTGATGCATCTTGTCGAACAGACTATTCTAAAATATCAAAATCCTATTACCGGCTTATTCACCAATAACGTCGAGGTATGAATGTTTTTAAAATAATTTAAATTCATGATTGAATAGTTCATAACGAGAATGAGGAAGAGGATGAAAAAGATAGTTCTTAAAGAACAACTAGACGAATTAAGTATGCTTCGAATTGTTTGCTGATTATTTAATAATAAATTAAATGAAATTTGTTCATTTATATTAATTTTTTTGTATCATTTGTCGCATCAAATAATTATTTATTGGTTTTTTGAACTGAATGATTTTGCAAATACTTAAGAATGGTCGTAATCCGAATTAAATAATTTTTACACTTATAGTTAATGATGATTGAAATTCAATCATTTTTTTGTACTTCAAATTAAGTAATTAACTATTAAAATAGATAAAATGCAATCATTTGTTGTATTCGATCAGAGTACCTGAAGAATAACCGTAGGTTATCATGTTCTGAACGGTTTTGAGATGGCTTTGGATAGCACATGTATGCTAACTTTGCTCATATTGATAATTTGTCCCATTTTAAAGTAATTTCATTATTATGGGGAATACAACGAATTCCATCTAGCTTTTTTGCTTTTCAACAATGATGCTCTAACAGTTAGCATTGTTTTTCATTTTTTTCACACTTATCAATATTTTTTTCACTTTTAAGGATTCTCCTGATCATGCTTGGGTGCGTGATAATTTATATGCAACACATGCAATATGGGCAATGTACCGAGCATATCAGAAAGGTGCCGACATAGACGAACATCTTGCTAAAACAAACGAATTGGGATTAACCTGGTAAAATTTTTAATTGGGTTTAAGGTCAATGATGTTAAGAAATTGTTGCTTCATTTATTAGATGTAGGACATCGTGTATTGAGTTGGATACAATCTTGACTATAATACTGTTCATTAAATTCCTTGAAATAATACTGATAGCATTATAGCGATGTTCTTATTAAAATAAGAAACGACTACAATTAACATTTTGAGTTTTGTTTTACACACACATTGGTTTACATTCTGTCATTGCTGTTTATCACTGTCATTTAATCATTTTAGTGTGAAAACTATGCAATCATTGCTGGAATGTATGATGCGTCAATCGTACAAGGTTGAACAGTTTAAGTTACATCAGCGCAAAAATGACGCACTTCATGCGAAATATTCGGCACAAACAAAGAATACCGTTGTTGGTGATTACGAATGGGGACATTTACAGATTGATGCTATATCATTATTTCTGCTAACGTTAGCCCAATTAACGGCATCAGGTAATTAAATAAATAAATAAAGTAAACAAACAAATCAGCTATAATATTAGAGATTTTAGGACTACAAATTGTTCGAAATTTTGATGAAGTTGCCTTTGTACAAAATCTGGTGTATTACATAGAAGCGGGTTATCGAACACCGGTAGGTATTCCTGTTCTATTTTATTTTTACAAATATGCATCATTAATGATTTTATTCTAAAACTTATGAAATACTTTTCATTCATTATTTTCTCCTTTAATTTATCGGATAATTTACTGAATTTAAATGTAAATCGATTTAGATGGATATCAATTTCTTGAAAATTATTTAACTTCGAAAATTTTCGGATTGTATCTTGGAAAAGTTTTCACCTTATTTTCAAAAGTAAAATAAATTATCAATAACAAGAAAATAAATTTAATAGTCAGTTTTTATTTTTTTGATATGGTCGTATAATCCCTTTTATTGTGAATAAATTTGAGGATTATGGTGTTTGGGAACGTGGTGATAAAACTAATCAAGGAATACGGGAACTAAATTCTAGTAGCGTTGGTATGGTAAAAGCTGCATTGCAGGCTCTCAACGATGTTGGCGATTTGTTTGGAGATGGCTCAAAAGGTTTTTAACTTGAATTTTTTTTCATATTTTCACTGTTATGATTTATATTATAAGTTATAAATTATTAGATTTGTAAGATTGTTGAAATATTTTTATTTGTTTCTACAAAATGAGTCCATTTTTTCTTCTTAAAGAAAGATTACCTGTGCGTTTTTTGTTTTAATAAGAACATTTGCTTTTTTAGGATCTGTCATTCATGTATTACCGGATCAAATCCAGCAGTGTTCAGCTTTATTGACATCAATGTTGCCGCGTGAATCGTTTTCTAAAGTATACGCTTTTTACAACTCAGTCTCTCATTTATTTATTTTTGCATTTATGCATTCTTTGTTAATTTCAGGAAACTGATTTGGCGCTTCTGAGTATCATTTCATATCCGGCATTTGCGGTGGAAGAGCAAAGTTTGATTCAGCTTACACGTCAAACAATCATTAATACACTGCTTGGACGTTACGGTTGTCGACGTTTTCTACGTGATGGTTACAAAACTCCATTGGAGGTAAATTAATCCTGACTAAAAATCCAAACAGCGATCAGAATAGAATACCTCCTTTATTTTTCTTTATTCTGCTGTAAAATTGTTTTTTTTTTTTTAATTTCAGGATCCATCTCGTTTACATTACAACAATTCCGAATTGCAACAATTTGAAGATGTAGAATGTGAGTGGCCGTTATCAATTTGTTTTCTTATGCTGGATGCTGTTTTTTCCCATGACGATGTTATGGTTGAACATTATTGGACAATTATGGAAAATGTATGAAATTGATTTTTTTTCCATTGCATAGATTTAGCTTACTTGAATGTTTCGTTTCGCCAGATGGTGGTGCTAGAGGATAAGACGTCTTTGCAAGTTGACAAAAAAAGTACAAATAAGTACAGTTTGTTTTAAAAAAAAGATTTCAGATTGTTCTCAACAGAAATGGTTTGCGACTAGTGCCTGAACTTTATAAAGTACCATATGATAAGGTAGCGGAAGAAAAGCAGCAGCATGGTAGCCAAGATAGAGAAGCGTATGGAGCAATGTGAGTTAAAAATTGTGAAGTTTTTTCAGATTATAATTTCTTAACATTTTTTATTTACGCGGTTTGTTTTCTTTCGTACTTCTGGGTGATGGAGATTTTATTTTGAGAAACCATATGGACATTCCGGTTTATTTACATTGTATGAAGCACAAGATATTGAATTATTTCTATGAAGTAGTTTTAATATCAATAAGTTATTTAGACCATTTTTGTGGGCACAAGCATTGTATATAATATGTTGTTTACTGTATGATGGTTTCTTAACACCAGCTGAACTGGATCCGCTAAGAAGACGGTTATCAGCCTATGAAAAACATCCTCCTTGCGAAGTTCAAGGTACGTTAGTGGATCATTGAATTACACTGGTACTCGCTACTAGACATTAGTCGGACAAATTCGCCAATATTTATCTTTGTTGATCCATTTTGTCATCCAATCATCATACATTGATTGAAACTTTTTTTTCGAATCCCAAAGTGGTAATATTGACGGAAACGTCTGAATTTTTTAAATTTCGGATCTTAAAGTGACAATATTGGCGGAAACGCCTGAATTTTTCAAATTTCGAATCTTAAAGTGACAATATTGGCGGAAACACCTGAAGTACAGCAAGAATTGTTGGCACAAGGGATCCGGGTGCAGAATATTAGCGAAATTGATGAAGTATTTTGCATCCAACCTACGTCCATGTTTGCACGAATTCTGTCAAGGCTCGTAGTTTGTTAATTCTTTATTTAATATTGCAATATGAGAAATCATTAAGTTGGAAGGGAATTTTTCCTGTTTTTTCAGTTTTGGATGATACAAAGTATTTCCAAAAGATATAAAATCGTTAATAGAGATAGTTTAAGCATTGTAAATTAGTTTTTAAGTTAAACATTATATGTTGCAATTTAATTAAATAGAATAAAGACATTTTATAGCAGTCGTAAACAATTTTAAGTGCTTTTTAGTCCAAGTTTTGTTGAACTTAAATTTTATCATGTTTTATTCAGGAAATGTCATAGTTTTTTTGACACTGATGGTTTTTTAGATTAGGAGAATCTAGAAAGTTGGGACTTACCGGTCGTCCCTTGGATCGAGAGATCGGTGTTCTCAGCACTAGTAAACTTTATCAATTGGGACAGAAATTCGTGATTTTCACGCCTCAAGTAACAATCTGTTCAATTTTCAAGATATTTATCTTTGATCTATTATTTCATTGTATTTTTTATGATCCATAAATCTAATTGATTTTTATCAACATACTATATTTTTTTGCTCTATATTTATGATGGAAAGAATGTAAGTACAAAATGCACCCACGTGTAATGTTTTTTTGTTTTTAGTTTATGGATCCAAAACGTTCATATTTGATGTATGACATCCGAATTCTGATGAATGAATGGAGCTCTGAGCTTCAGTATATATATAGCAGTTGGAATAACACTTCAATGTCTGGTCGACCATTGATAGTGCTAATTGTTGCGAAGAATATGCTTGAAGCAGTAAGCTTATGGCTTATCATGTTGATCTAGGATTCATTTAATTTTGCTACCTCATTCACACTATTTTTTGACTCTTAAAATATCTTAACTCACAAGTCTTTCGATTAATTAATTTTAATGCTTCATTGTTTGACGCCCCGTCCAACATCATCTGTTAAACGAAACACTGTTTAGTCAGAGAGGAGACTAGGGAAAAGAAAGACAAAAGGAACGGTGAAGGATGAATGGGAAAAAGTAATAGTTAATATGAAAAAGATTATCACATTAAATTGCTCGAATGGTCATGCGACCTACTGCTCTGACCTGGACTTTCAAATTAATACTGTGTGAGTTTCCAACATTAATTAGTGCTTGAAGGCTAATGAGATAAGTTTTGTCAGTCAATTTTTAGTATAATATAGAAATATCAGAATAATGTAAAGTATCTTTCAGGATATGACACCAAGTGATAGTTCCTTCGCTGATGTTCACATGAAAGCATCCGTTATAGGAACGATCAAAAAAATTGCAACCGGTTATATAGGTGGCGCACGGTACGTTACATTGTTTTTTTTATTCCTATTGATAAATAAGGAAAAAAGTCAATAAGGTGCGTGTTGCTTTGTATTATTCAGATAAATATCAACGAAAATTGATAAGAGAGGTACAGGAATGGTACTGAAATTATTGCCTAGATCAGATTTTGGATTTTTAAAAGTTTAAAATTTTAGCAGTGACACTTAAATGCCACAAGTTGGAATGATTGGTCGTCATAACGTCTTATGCGATGTTTATAATAATGTCTTTCCTTTTCTTGTATTATCGGGTTAAATACTTTTGTTTTGGTACTTCTGAAATCCTGATGTGAAAGATCTATGGCGTCCAAAAGGTGCATTTAGGATTAGATTAATTAATTTTAGGAATTACCATTAGAATCGATACCATTAGAAGCACATCAAATTATTTTATGAGTTGCGGTAAGTTTTGTTAAAGAAAAATCCGCCTGTTACTTCTGCTCCTTTCGTTTCAGAGTAGTTATGAAGAATATATCGGATTTTTTTCGAACTGCAGCTATTAGTAAATTGGAATTTTGTGGGAACAATGCAGATTTGTTTTGCGAGAAGGAAGAACAAGCAATTTATCGCAATCTTCCATCTTCGGGCATTGATAATTCAAAATCAAGTACGTATGTTATACAAATGAGGAAAGAAATTTAAGAACTTTCACTTTATATAACCAGAAAAAGAAGAAAATCAATGAATTTACTGGGCTGGTTCTGATAAATTCTTGTTGCATGTACCAAATTTAAGTGTGTTTGAAATTATGTGTCTCTTTATCAATCATATTACTTAAAGAAATTCACTGCCATATTTGATGAAGAGGAAGAACTGTAAGATCTGCATGAAAAAATCAGTTGAGATGAATAATATTCGATATTTGGTCAGTAACAGTAAAATGTATTAAATATTCTATCATTATTGAAAAAATTTCATTTTTAGTCGTTCCATCGCAAAATACTCGACAATCATCGGTAAAAAGCAATTATGAGCGCTATAGTATTGTGTACAATACCTCAATGCGACATCGCAGTATCATGATTGATAGCGATGATCAAGGCAAATTTTTATGCTATTGCCTCAGAATGATTACAAATTAGTGGTACCCAAAGATGAAGAAATCAAATTTAAAATTCATAAACTTTCGGCAAATAAAAAGGAGGTCCTGTGTGGTAGCATTTGAAATTTTCGTTTGAATTTTTTCACTATTTAGTAAAACTGTTCACTGTATGTCAGCAGACATTGGTAATGTTTATACCTCACTGATACAGTGGACAGTTTTACTGGATGATCAACTAATCCCAATAATGTGGTATTAAGCCTTATCGTTGTTTCCTCTTTAATGCTAATTTTATGAACTGTTTTATAGATCTTATCAAATTGTATTTACTTTATGATAAACAAGAAAAAAGCAATCTGACCCAAACAAATGATAAATCTCAGGCTCCATCTTTGAAACGACTTTTATCACCTGAAAAATGTAGTCCTGCAGATGATTTGGTATGTTTATTTATTGACTGATTAATTTCCTTTTTCATTCAGACAGTTACAATTTCTATTACGATTTAATATTAACGCTTCATAAGTTTATAGCATAATACAATCCTTAACTTTATATATCGTCGCAACATACTGGTTTTGAGACTCAATAGAAAAGATAAAGTGAAAGCGATGAGAAGGGGAGTGTTTGAAGATATCCTGGATTGTTTCCTTTCGCACTAGTTAATGAGCATATAACTGCTCTCTGCTTGTATATCTATGAGTTTATATTATATAATGATCGATTAAAATGGATAAATATCCTTCACATCCTATTATTTAAGATACGAACGTCATCGACAGCATCTCTCAAAAGTATATCCAGTGCCGATTCAGATAAAAAGTACTGTTTCTCACACTATTACGTAAATTTAATTGCTTTATAACTGTAGAGTGAACTACAGGATTCCGATCCATGATACTGATCTTAAACAATATGGGGTAGGGTGTAACTACTATTAAATAGTGTTTCAGGTTGCATACAGCGCAAATGGATGAAATGTCAACAGCAGATTTGATTGATATGTTAACAGGAACAAATGTTTTAGATGAGCAAGCGTCAATCGTTCATTATTTATGGATGAAAAAGTAAGCTAAAACTTGAAATTTTACATAATGATGTATCTTCATGCATTACTACATAAAATTTAAAGCACGAAATATTGTGAATATTTCATATCATTTAATTATAATTATTAAGTTTAATTATTAATTATTAAGTTGTATTTTCTTATTCAGTTTTTCATTAAAATAAAAAATACTTTTTTGCTTAACTAGCGTAATCTTTCGATTGTCTATCAAGTGATGGTTTACCAAGTGATCCATAAATATTGAATATATGATATTGAAGCTAGAAAATAGTTTTGACATTAGAAGCTATCATATTGCAATTCTATATTGATGTATCAAGCAATGATGAATTAAAGACTTGATATATCATATGGTGAAATTTTCATTTCATTGCATAGCTGCTCCAATTTCCTACCTAATTAATTGGATGTTTGAAAATGAAATTTCTTTGCCTCTATTACATTTGTAAACTGTTATTATGCAAATCTCGGATAATATTTGAATAACAATGACAAACAAATTAATGTAGTAAAGGCAAAAAACTTCGTATTCAGACATTCAGTTATTTATTTGAATTTGTTCTACATGATTTCTTACTCTCTACTTGAAATTTGAATGATATAACAGAGCGAAAATTTTTCCAATTTACTCTTAATTAATTTTTCCAATTTACTCTTAATTAATTTTACAGTGCACTTCTATTTGACTAATTGTGTAATAAATATTCTGCTGAAGTACTGTTCAGCAGAATATTTATTGAACAGCACTTCAGCAGAATATTTATTGCCAATTAATATAATATTCTCTAAAAAAGTTTTTTTTTATTAATAGCAATAGACTTAACTTTGTGCGAATGAATTACATATTAAGTATTAAAGTTAAATTAAAATGCAGGCAATATAGTATCATTCCGGAATTCACTTCATTCTATTTAGCTGAGCAAAAATGTAAATGATTTTAGGGCATTGTTTAAAATGATATACTTGCACTAAAAGAATTAGTTTTGAAGACTAGTTCCTCAGAACTTTAGAAGACGGTGCACATTGCCATCCGTTTACATTGTGAAAGAATTTCATAGTGTTGTAGTTTGGTATTTTAGAGGACCCGATTTTGATACTGAATTGAATAACATGAAAGGTGCAACCGTTCGAGCACTTATGGAAGAAATACATTTGAAGGTTTGCGTCTGCAATAATTTTTCAAAATTTCATCAGTTTTCATTCTTTGAGAATTTAAAATGCTTTTTGCAGGGCAAAGATGATGCACTAAAATGATAGCTCGTTATACTAAATAATTAATATTTGTATATCAAATAAACATAATATTACTATCTAAAGATATTCATTTTTACCATTTTTACAAATGCTACAAGAGTGTTTTTAGGCGTGTGAAAGTCGTAATTGGGCCTTAATTCGTCTGTCATTCGGACTGTTGAAGCGTCTACTGGAAGAATTATCCAAATCAGTAACTCATCTTTTAGTACGTCAGAAACAGATCACTGTTGGTATGCCATCAAAGAATGAAGAAGCTATTACAACTCCAAAAACTAAGGAAGAATTACATGAAATTTTTAAACGTGTCTACGGCGATGATGCAAATAGTTATGCTTTATCACAGGTAAAGATATCCTCTCATTTCTAATAGTCTTTCCTCCAAAAATAACATCAAAGCGTTCTCCAAATGAAATTTAAGAACTTTCTATTATGCTACACTTGTTCGAAGATCGAAGTTCGACAATTTATATCATACAGTAATATTTCTAGTATACAGTGGCTTGAGTTTGGCGGTTTGGTTTGGGGGCAACATTTTCTAGTTAAACGGCTGAAGATCGATTCCTGCATAGTAATGCGCTATTTCATCCACTGAACTGTTTTTCGAGTTTATGTGGTTCCATGTGGCGCAAGAAAATAAATCACGGTTTTCGCTAACATCGTGCACTGAATATTGCCGGCGTTTGATAGTAGACCGTGATATATCCGAAAATTATGAGTGACTTACTTTTCTATGCTTTAAAATGACAACAAAACAGAGTTCTTGTGTTTGTTTCTGATTGTGACCAATGTAGTAATACTGTTTTTCTTTCACTTTTTTTGTTTGATTTTATTCTTTGGGATATTTGTATTTGAGGTGTTGGTAACCTTGCCTTAGCCAACTAAAACTATGTGTAAGTCTTCATCAAATGATAATAGTAAATATTGAGGCGAAAATGACGTTTATAAATTTTGATTGCGAAAAAGAGTTCCCAAGGAAAACCACTTATCACTTCTGAGATGGACCAGATAATGTAGAGATAATGCTAATGCTACTTGTATTGGTGCAAGAAAGCATATTCGATTTTCGTAATATATATTTATTTACTGAAAATTACGAAAATGAAAGAAACTAAATCACATATGTATATTTCTATGTATATTTTTGCTGTTTTTATTTAGGAAATTATTGTTTGTCTTGGTTCATTGGTGTTAACGGAACCGCGTTTGTTTGTAGAAATGTTCAGAATACGTGTGGGACTGATTATACAGGTATTTTCTCATCAATAATTTCCGATAACTTATCTAACGCGCGTTAGTAAAACTAAAATCCTGAGTGTCGTGAACTTTCTAAGGATTAAGACTTGATTTTAATCGACTATGTTACCGCAGTGGCAACGTCCTCTGCGGAATCAACTGGTTATTTTTGGTGGTGAAGAAAGTAAGTTCGAATTTTTAAACTTCTGAGTTGTTACTATGGTTATACATCATCATTTCTTTTTTCATCAGTCCCTTTTTTATTTTAAACACTCAAAGCTAAAAGCAAATTTTTTTGATATTTTTTTTCAATGTCATCCATAATTTTATGAATGGAAAAGGTTGATTTGTGATTACATTAAGGATTTGAATTAAATTTGAGCATTTAAATTGAACTGAAATGAACAGTCATTCTTTGAAACAGTGGGAATATTTACGATTATTTCAGGTGTTAGCTAGTGAATTGGCTCGTTTTAGTAGTATCAGTGGAATTGATGCGACACAAAAATTATTTCAACTTTCACCATTTCAAGTGAAATCAATGCTATTATTGTTGTTAAGCGGTCGGTTGCTGGAAGATTTTAGTACGGATGCTGAATCTGGTATCAAAGAGCAGCGTAGTGGTATGGGTTCTATTAGAAAACAAATTGAGGAACGGAAGGTAATTTAAATTTTCATTAAGTCATTTCTTTTAATTTGTTTTGAAATACTATAGATTTTGCCAAATTTCAAGGAACAATTAAAATTATTTCTTGAAAATTCACTCATCTCTTTTGACCGCTGTAATTGTAGTCACGGAGATCCATGCATGATAGTAGTATGGTTGTTGATGCGAATGTATTAGCTCCAACTGATTCTGAAGAGGAGGCCGAAAGCTTCCAATTCGGCATTTGGCTAAGACATCGTCGAATTGATGGAGCTTTGAATAGAGTTCCACTTGACTTCTATGCGGTATGTTTGATTATTTCGAATTTCTTATAAATAGTGTGCAGCATTTCAATTCATGGTTGAAAAGTATGTTTTTCCCTTTGTCAAATTTGTTTAAAATATATTGGATAAAATGCGTAGAGTCTATACTTTTTTGGATGTTCATTTTTTTTCTTGACACTGTTCATTTTTATTGGTAATATTTGTTTTTACTCATTATGCATGGTGAAATTTTCTTTTTCCTATTTTTGCTTTTTTTTTTTTACTAATGATTCAGTTCCTTATAGATGTTGTGGGATACTGTGCGACGTTTTCCTTGTGGTTTATCAATAAATCGTATTGTTCTACATTGGGGTGTCACACAGGAGGTTTGCTAATTTCTGTGCTGTGATTTTTCTTCAGCAGAAAATATTTGATTTCTTATTCGATCACTTGAACTTGCCTACCGCAATCCTACTTGGATACGTCATCGTGGTGATGTAGGAGTGGTAATTGTTGAAAGTAGTAAATTATTAGAAACTTCTAATTTCTGACTTCCGCGGGTCAAGTAGTTTTAGTCACCGAGATTGGCAAGCTAAGGCAACTAAATGGAAGACTGAAATGAAAGGAAATGAGATACTCAGGGTCTGCTCATTTTTCATCATTTTCAGATGACACGTAGAGAAATCAAATTTGCGTTGCAGGTTGAGAAAGTGCTAAACCAGGTTTGTTTTTAGATTTAATTTCTTGTTTTAAGAATTTTTTAGTGAAAATGAATGCGCATGCTGGACTAAACTGCCCAGATAGTTTGTGTGAAATTCATATAAATCTGCGACGTATAAGTATTTCCACTTTAGATGGAAAGTGATTCATGTGTTTCATAACGGCAAGACTTTACAGACTAAAGAGGCGAAAATTATTAATGTCAAAAAATTCAAAGAAGCAAAAATCTATTAAAGTTTGTAGCGAATATGTCGATGAGAAAAAGTTATATTAGTTGAAGGGATAATTAATACAGATATATCAAGATATCATTTTCATTGGTTTCTGCGAAGCTTTGCTAAGAAAATTTTAGATTGCTGAACCAGAATATCGTGAAATTATGATAGAAGCTTTGTCACTTTTAAGCAGAATGAATAGCTTGCTGAAAACCGACAATCCTAATATACCTCATGATCAGTCGTTTGTAGTAGATACTGTGGTTCATAGAGCAAACAAACTGTTTGTTGAACATAACGTTAGTTTATCAGTTCATCAATATTATTCATTTACTATAAATCCATATGACTGAGATTTCATTTCAAAATTCATTGTAATTTTTTAATTGAATTTTTATTTGTTGCTGAAATAACTTTGTTACATTTCGTCACTTGTTCAATTTGTGCACGTTGTTTATGAAATGGATAACTTACCTATTGGGAAAATAATAATTTGATTTGTAGAGACTTTTAAATATGAGCCATTTCGAATACTAAATATAAACTTTCAAGTACTAATAATGAATCCATTCTCCCTAAGAAATTCTCAACAGCTTACTGATTTTTCCTTTTCTTTTTTTAACGAAGATTTCTGTTATTTGAGCAAAGAACACTGTTCGTTTATTATATAGAATTGTTTAATAGCTTTTTCGCATGTTTTTTGACCTGTTGCATTAGGAAGGACTGATAATTCTAGCAATACATTATCACTGCGGCGTAATCTCGATAATATGTTATTTTGACAGAAGCAAATGGAAACAATAGTAATGGAATGTTGTGGCTCGGGAAAGCGTTGTGATGGTGCCCAAGGAATGTGTCAGCATTTCTACGATTCGGCTCCAGCTGGTGAATATGGCACAGCCCATTATCTGATAAAAGCTTTAATGGATATCTTTGTTTCATAAATTTGGAGAAGTCATTATTTAGAAGTTATTCGATTTGCCATTCAATCAATTAGAAATTTAGTTTGTTTTAACATTTGCTGTCGATCATTTAACGCTGCATCGTTCTGAAACTGGGTATTAGCTAGTTCAAAGCATGATGGTTAGAATTATGGATAGATATCATCATATATATTGGCTCATGTGTTTCAGTTTCGCTAATTGATTTACTTTTTTTGACCAAAAATATTTGATTCTGCAGTCCCTCTCTATTTCTCCAATTGCCTTCCTCGACAATAATGTTCTCCTTTTCTCTCTTGAAAAACCTATTAGTTGTTCCGTTTTGAAATCCTTCAGATGCAAATGGCAATGTTATCAGTTTCTTGATTAAAATCTTTCAATTATGAGTCATACGTTTTATTGATAGCTTTAGAAGCTTTTAGTTACATCTTGCGCATTTTCAGGATAGTGCCATACGTAATTTTTCTTCCTTATGGGTAGTCTTTTATCTCATTATATCATCGCTTTCTTATTTGTAATCCTAGCCAATTGGTATGATGTGTGCCTTTTCATTTCATTAAAATTGTGCCTTTTCTTTTATCTTGTTGAAACGGTGCTGTACTTTTCGTGAGATTCGATATGCAGTTTTCTAGATGTTATTTTTTTCATAATATATATTCAAATATTTTTGTTTAGTAACTGTACATAAGCATACTTCTAAATGTGATAAAATATAGTCGGCGCATACATCCGGAGCATTCTAAAACTTTTAGATCTTATGACAAAAGTCAAACATTGCTTGCGTAATAGCTTCAGATGGGAGTATAAAAAGATAGGATATGAAGAAAGAATTACCTTACTTCGGATTATTTCCTACAATTCCGAGAAATATGGATTGTACCTCAGATATTTGTTGAAAGCAATTGGTGCTTATGTAATTGTGCCGATATCAGATAGCAATACAAAAAAGCTGAGCACAGAAGTTGCCTTCATCGTCCACGTATCATTGACGACATCTGATTAAGTATCGATAATAGAGCGATGGAAGTTCCTACATGTGTTAGCGACACTAACCTTTGATACGGTCGATTACACCAGTGGGTAAATCCGTAGATAAAATTGGCCAAAGATTCAAATAGATGGATCAAAAATCTAGAAATATTATGACAGAAATGGAAAGACAGGGAAAGGATCACTTCAATTCTATTTCCAAGTTGGGTGAGTAGGCACAGTTGGATAGCTGAAAACTCAGAAGAACGGAAGGTGCCCGGACTTCGACATGTGCTTCTACAGCGGTTCCGACCTTGAAGTAACCGCGCGACACAACGTGGGGGAGAGCAGATATGAGAGAGAACAAGGGATAGAAGATGCGCCAAACAACCAATAGACGCTGACTTCCTTCTGTGTTTAACACATTTTTTGCGGGAACAATAATTTCAAATGCAGTGTGGGACTGAAATGGTTCTTGTCGTGTTAAGTGTAGGTCTAAGCCCAACTCTAGGTTTAAGTCTAAGTCTACCCTAGTAGCACTTAATAACACTTAGCACTTGAGGTTTCAGGTTCCAGATTTAAGTTCCGCAAGCTTTCCAATGTTAATTTTAATTTGTGCAAATGATGTTTTTATTTCATATTAATTTCAGTTTAACACATAGCGTGATGAGAATATGTATTTCATATATGCATATGTTCACGATCGATTTGTATTTTAGTCTGCCCATCCATTTTTATATTATTATTAAGTCTATATGTGTTTCGTTTACACTACGTGTTTACTGTATGGATGAATGATATGTGTTTGCTTTATTAGTATTTAAAGAGATTTATATATATTAAATTGTGTATTATTTATCAAATAAAGTAGCATCTTATTTTTTAGTAGATTTCTTTTAGGCATGACAGAATTTTCGTTTCCATTCGAACCATATGATATTCAGATATCATTAATGCGAAGTATTATTTCGTGTATTAATGAAAGGAAAATCGGAATATTAGAATCGCCCACAGGTACGGGAAAATCTATGAGTATCATTTGTGCAACGCTTAATTGGCTGGAGACATTTGAAACGGAAAAAAAGAGAAGTCTCGAGGAACAATTGAAAGCAGTTCAGGAAGTCGGAAAAGGTGACAAACTAAGTTACAGTTAATTTATTTCCATTTCAAAATGTTAATGATATTTCAACTAAAAGCGACATATGTTGACCGTAACATAGAAGATATGTATATATATTTCTTCGATGTAATATTCTATTCTCATTCTATTATCTCATGATAATCCTTTCTAAATGATACAGCTTAATAGTATGAATTACAGATGAAAATGACTGGTTGAATGCTCATATAAAGAAGGTTAAAGCAATCGAGGATGCGAAAGGACTTTTCAGTCAACTTGAAAATGATCAGAAAATAGATGAGCGAATTAAAAAAGCGTTAGGAAACTTGGTGGTTCAGCAAAAACGAAGATTACGGGATGATCAAGATAATGAAGAAAAAAATGACGACGAAACGGATGAAGTGAGTCATATTCCTGCAAAATGCGGGAATCGAAATATTGTGTCCTTTGGGACATCGAATTACCAGCAGTTTGCGAAATTTTTTATTTGTTGCCAGTTCGCACCATTACTACGAGATACCAAATGACGGAAAAGTTTGATAACTCAATAATGTTTAGATACTTTAAATATTAGGAGATACCGTTTAGATACTGGATGAGGATTTTACAAGTGACCAACTCGGAAAGAAAATTGCGGATGAGCCGACTCCAACCTGTACAAAAATAATTTATGCTACACGAACACATTCTCAGTTGTTACAGTTTGCCGAGGAAATCTCTAAAACACGGTTATTTAATTTTCTTCTTTTTCAAAGCTGTCTATCTTTTGATTCCAAATCGCTTAATAATCATTTCATCAATACAATTTCGAAAGCATAATCTGTTGTACTTCAAAAGAATTACTATTGAAATAAACACTTTGTGCAATAACATCAGTATCTTGTTAATAATTGTTTCCCAGATTTCAACCAAGGGTGGTAACTCTCGGGTCGAGACAATACTTATGCATCAACGAATCAGTCCGTGCCTTACAAAAAACAAGTCTTATGACGGAACGATGCAACGAATTGCGTGATAACAAAGCCTCGGAAAAACGCCAGAAAGATGACGATGACGAAGTATTTTTTTCCTTTCTAATCATGGTTTAATTCAAAACTGACTTAAGTCGGTACGCATTTCTTCTTATCCTATTGCTACTAGCTTCAAATTTATCACTAATGCTATTATTGAGCATATAAGTTTAACATATTTAACGGTTACATAGACCAACAGTTAGACCACGCTGCATTCACTTATTGTAAAACTCTTGGTGTTGTATAGTAGTTCCTCTTCTCGTTAAAAGTTCTATGAAGTTGCTGATATGGATCTTTTTTTGATTTTAGTTAGCATGTCGTGGGATAATAAAGTAACTGATCGAAAGTATCTTATGTTCGAAATTATTTGAAACATCTGGAAGTTGAAATTTCTTATGAGGCGAATTGCAGTATGTGGCAAAAGCATGTAAGGGAAGTTGTCCATTTGCGAGAAGCGATGCAATCGAGGATCTTTGTGATCAAATTCTTGCATCAAAGTTATCCAGTGCACCGCAGTTAGTTGATTATAGCAAAAAAATATACGGTTGTCCATATTTTGCATCACGCAAGGCGGTTGCTTATTCACAGCTGGTGCTGCTCCCATATCAAGTTAGTTTTACTTTTTAGGTTATTTCTAACATATGTTTTGATTTACAAAGGTTACGTGGATATGCAGTTATTCTCTACAAACTCTTTGGCGAATGTGAATATATTTCAATTTAATTAAATAAGGAAGTACTACTAATAATTTGATAATGAGTGATGTGAAATTTAGGTTTCTCCAAACATCCGTTTATGATTAATGCATAAAAAATAGTTCTGCAGATTTTGTTTCAAGAAGAAGCACGAAAAGCCTGGGGAATTGAATTGAGCGGTAACGTTATCGTTATTGATGAAGCTCATAATTTGCTGGAAACAATTACCAATTCGCATTTTGTTACGCTACATGCAAAGGAACTGAGATCTGTGCTTTCAATATTAGAGTAAGTGATTTTCATGGATTATGGAACGTAGAAATAACATTGCCGTAACTATATTACTTTAAAAGTCAGTTCTTTATTTCGTTTCATCCATGTCCACAACTCTAAGAATTAATTTACAAATATTCTGTATGTCTTGTTACTACATAATTTACAAATATTTTATTAATTTTTTAGTAGCTATTTAAATCGTTTTCAAAGCCGGCTGAAACCGGTGCATAAAAAATATCTGCGACAGTTATCTACTCTTGTAAATCTGTTATTGGTGTATGTGAATCATGCATCAGAGAAACGTAAAAATTATGTTGAAACAATGACGACATTTGCGAGTAAAGTAAGAATTTCTTTTTACATTAGTGAAAATAGTTTTCAATTTTTTATTCTCCATTAGGAATATAAAGATGGTATTTATTTTGAATAACTACTCTGTCGTAAGTTGGGAAGGTAAAAGGTAAAAGAAACTGAATGGTATAAGAACTCTACCACAGAACCTTTAAGCAGATTAGTAATCACAAATGATATTAATGCAACCTAGTTTTTTTAAAGAGAGAGCAGTAACAATACTGACAAATATAATCTAACATTGGCTGACCTGAATTGCGTAGGATTGTTTATTTCCGCATCTCATACAACCGACGATTTCAAATCTGCTCATTTGACAATTGATGAATTACTAAATGTATCTGTAAACTCCGTTGCAATTTCTGAGTTTAAGCAATTACTACTAATAATAATTTACTATAGCATTATTTTAAAAATAAGTGCTTCTGCAAAATTCTAACTATTGCTTCATTCGCGTAATAGTAATCAAATCATATCGCATATGATTTGGCGTAATTGCTGTTTGATACAACAGTATGATTACATATCGCTGCAACTGCACAATTGCATCCAAATGTTATGGGATAAAATCTTGTTTATACCAGCAATTTCCCAAAAATTATGGTAGAGTTACTTATGTAACGTTGATAATATTCATAATTGAGGCTTATCTTGCTTCTTAGGCTTATCTTGCACAGTACAAGTTGGACATTTTGCTGGAATATATTGAGCAGACACATTTAGTTATGAAGCTAAGCAAATTTTCGAAACGTTTGGATGGAGTGTACAACAGAAAAGTTAATTCTACTTATGAATTTTCGGTAGAACATTTACTCCGCACAAAAGATTCGCCGAATGAATCTCAAAGCATTTTCACAACTGGTCGGTTAAAGTTCATTTCATATGCAATATATAATTCACTGACTTCTAAAAACATGAATATGCATACGTAATCGAAGTTTGGGAATAACTGGGAAAAGGTTTGGGAAAAAAACTTTGGTTCAGATAAAGTTGAGGTTTCCACATTTTTATAGTCTTCATGATGTTAGTGTTACATTGCATACCATTAATGTTATATAGTCTTAAAAACTTTTTTCTTCATGGTTTTAAAAATATTCGGTTGTCAAATATTCGTTTTCGTAATTGATTTTTAAGAATTAAAATTCCAGAATGTTTGACTACTCAATGCACATCATCATCATTAGTCCAGGAGCGAACGGTAGCATCAGCACTGTGTGCATTCCAACAGTTTTTGCAAATGCTAATGTTGAACTATAAGGACGGAAGATTAATAATAGAATGTTCATCTGGGAAAGATGAAGCCAAGTCATGATTTCCTTCTTTTTTTTTGGATATAACGTTCCTTTTAATCTTAATTCTTCAGTCCTCAGTTTCAATTCCTTACTGCTTTAAATCCTATAGTTCTGCAGAATTGCTATTCCTCTGGATAATGTCTATTGAGACGTAATCTACTAAAAGTTATGCTTTAGTATCCAGATCACTACCATGACTATTGTCCAATCATTTAATACAATGTGCTTCAGTTGGCTTTATCGTAATTCAGTTTTTCAAACAACCTTACCTGTCACTCGCTAAAGTGTCACTTACCTTACATTCCTTAATCAAACTTATCAATAGTATTTTAAATCCAAATTTCATTGATAAGATCGCAGTATCATTTGATGAAAAATAAAGAATTTTTATTTTAATGGTTTGCAGAATAAGTTATTATCTTATCAATCCAGCTTCTCAACTTCGTGACATAATTAAACAGTGCAGATCTTTAATATTGCTTGGTGGTACTATGGAACCATCGGAAACATTGATACGCTCTCTTACTATATGTTGTGAAGTTTGTTGATCTTGTTGAAAAGGATTTACACAGTTTGGAAATAAAGCATTTGTCGTTTTTTATAAAATAATCTACATCTTGATTTGTTATAGCTGAATTTTAATTAGACATCGTATTCTAGATTTTTAGGTCGACCCAAACAAGGATCTTGTCCGTCGCTCTTTTGGACATGTGATAAAGGAGCATCAGTTATTAGCTCTAACAATAAGTTTGCATTTTTATTTCTACTACACGTACAATTTATTTATTTATTTGTATTTATATTTTGCATATGCATATCGTTAAGCAAGCTGTTGTTCAGAAAATCTTTTATGAGTCTAAGTAGTAATAATTTATTTTGAAACTAGATCTAGTATAAGACTTGGCTAATTTCGGTTGTTGCACGAAAATGTAGTTTAGAAATGTAGTAAGACCAGGTTGTGAGTATTATCCAGATAGGGGAATGGGAAGTCTGAAGAAGAAAATTCCAAAATTTCGTTTTATTAGAATTCAATTGTTTTTGTTTAGTATGCAGTAGTAAAGGACGCAGTATGCTTTGATTATCTAGACATTGTACAGTTAATAGTGCTGATAATTTTCCTACTGTATTGTATACAGAAGTAAACCAAATTTTCTGTATCACATTTTTCTTTTCTCTTTTTTCTATATAGTGGAAGGGATGTAAAGGGATTTAAGAGAAAATAAACAAGGAAATAACTTAAGTAATTTTGCAGCAAGTGTATCTGATATAAAATTGATATTTACACACGGTAAACGGGAAACCGACACAATGTTGAACATTTTGGTGACGACATTAGCACAAATTGCCGAAGCAGTTCCAAATGGGATGATCGTATTCTTCCCCAGCTATGTCTATCTGGAAAAATTTATTAAAAAAATATCCTATAATTTACGGGTAATATATATACTTTTTCATCACATCAGTGAAAGTATTCTTGATTCCCTTCCGATGTTCACAGTTACTATGCTATATCCTCTTTTAAATCATTCCTAATTTCTGGAACTCAAGTTTATATTCTTTGGATCGATTATAAAAACATCGAGATTTCTTACCTTTCTTACCTTTCTTCCTTTTCTTACCTTTTCTTTTCTTGCCTTAGATTCCTTACCTTCCGACTATCTTTCCTCGATTTCCTGAATATTGCTGAAGTTGCAGAAGGTTAAACCATTGTTCATTGAACGACGAAACGGTTTGCCAACCTTGTTTAATGAATTTGCAAAGTCAGCTCGAACTGTAAAAGGTGCTCTGTTGTTAGCTGTAGTTGGTGGAAAATTAAGTGAAGGTTTGTTTAATATTATTTATTTTTTCTCCTAATTAAAATCCAAATCGGTGTTCTGACATCGAGTTGTAAATATATGTTGTTTTCAGCTAAATTATGGATTCTTTAAAAGCTTGAAAAATTAACGCTTCCATGATATTCGACGTTTTACAGTATTAATTTTTGATACATTTTGTATTATATATTATCCATAAATTAATGTAATATCAGCGTCATCAACTGAATCAAGTTGGAAAAGATAACATAATACGGTGAAAATAGCCAGCCATTCTTGTTTTCAGGAATTAATTTTTCGGATGAATTAGGACGTACAGTTGTTGTCGTTGGATTACCCTATATGAATAGCGAAGATATTATTGTAAAAGAGAAATTAAAGGTATCTTTCGTAATCTATCTGCCGTACGAGATGACTTGGGGATAATGAGATGCGTAGTGAGATGAAGTTTGGTTCCGAATATGGATTTGAAATTAAGACAATGAGTGAAAATCCTGAGCTCTAATATTAGATTCTGATAAATCGATAAGAAAGTCAAATTTAGTTTATGGAAAGTGAATTTGGTCCAAGGAGTGGTGTTGAATATTATGAAACGAAATGCATGCATGCTGTCAATCAATGTATTGGTCGTGTAATCCGCCATCGTAATGATTACGCAGCTATTGTGCTGATTGATTTAAGGTACAAAAGCAAACGAATTGTGAAAGTAAGCAATTTATTCTTTTTATTTATTTTCAGACAATAATTTGATGTGAATCGCCAACATATTGATGATTCATCGCAATTTGGCAATTCCACGTGGTAGTTGGAGGAAAGTGAGGAATAAATGCACGATATAATTATGATAATAAATGCATGGACAATGAGGAGTTTGTATTTAGGTGATAGGCAAAGTCAGATGTGATTGCTTCAACAGCACGAATTTCAACAGCGTGGCCAAAAATCTAAGCAATCTTAATCTTTGATAAAACAGAAGTTCAAATAATTTTATATTTTTACTTATTATAATAGAATATCCATTTAACAGTCTAGGTGGTGTCGATATGCACCAATTCTTTGCTTTTCAGGATCTTCCATCATGGATTCAACGTAGGCTGTATAATACAACGGATCTGAGTGATGGAATACAACATTTGCAGAGATTTTTCAGAAGTATGGACAACTGCATTCAGAAGTAATTCAAAATAATTTTATTCCTTGTAATATTTGGCCGTTTGAAAGTGAACTGATTTTTCTCGCATCTCTTGTAAAATTATTTTATTTCAATGCGAAGAGTAAATAGAGTACCGTCGAAAATTCAAATCCTAATGTTTGAAGTTAATAAGTCGATCTAAGTTTTTGATATTTCTGAAGTATGTCTGGACCATTTCAATCCTATCCTTTTTACATAAAATTTTAATGATAGTACTGACTAATCTGAGCAAGTGATCTCTGTGTTTTGAATTAGTTCAGTTTTATCCTGGTTTACTCTATCTCATCACTGTTTTCAAGGCTAATTGGGTTAATACTATTGCTTTTTAACATTATTACGTATTCATGTTTGTCATTATATTTTCTTTTGCATACTTGTATATTGTGTTTGTATATTAATTCGACACATTCTAAAAAGTAATTTTTATATTAATTCGATACTTTTTAAAAAAAGTAAATTTTTTTACGTATTCAAAATTTTCGCGAAAGCCACATGCGTTCACAGACGAAGTCTGATTGGTTACTGAATGCATTCAAAATAATTTGTATGTTTCAAAAAATGGTTTTTTCCTTTTTTAAAGAGTCGAAGTAACCAATCAGACTTCGTTTGTGAGCGCATGTGGTTTTCGCGACAATTTTTTATAAATTCGATGATGTCACGGTTGATTTTAAGAGAAAGAGAGAGAAAGGAGTTAAATGTAAACGTAGGAAATGATGCGGAGAAGGAACAAGTTTTGTTCTCTTAATCCTAACACTGTGATACATCATTGTGGTGTTGATCAGATAGATTACTCATGTGAAGTTTAAAAACAAGCAGTTTGTCAGTCGGAGAGAAAGTTAAAAGCTTCTTAATTGGTTGGTAGTATTTCGTTTCTATAAGTTCTTAAAGAAGGTCGCAATGATTATGTATAGAAATTTAATAGATTTTAGAAATTATCGGGTTAGTATATTTTGTTTGATCTGGATAACAACTGAAGGGGCTGCCGAATACTAATAAAGTTGTTGAATACTAGAGAATGACTAAATCCGCTTAAAACTGTCTAAAGGACATCACTCAGAATCAAAGGTTTAAATACATCAAGTATTGACATTGTAAAACTGTTCAACCAAAAGTGTGGAAAGGTTTATTCATTAATGTTTTGAAGCGATGATATTTTAATTTATGTCATTATCTGTTAAATAGTTCAACTAAACTGACAAAAAAATTTATGATCAGTACATAATTTTATCTCATTTGACATTGAAAATTGCAAAATGAGTAACTGGTAGATATGTTAAGGTCTGAATACAGTGGATAAGTTGAAATTTTACTTATCTAATAGGTTTCCTTAAATAATTGTCATTATTATTGATGATTTATTACTATTGCCGTTATTATTGCTGCAATAGTATAATAATCTGGTATTGCAGAAGATTTAGTTTTCGTTCAGGTTAATGTTCATTTCAAATGCGAATGAATTAATATATATGGTTGACGTAATCGAGAATAGAGACGAGCCACCTATAATTGGTAAATAAGAAATAAATTAACAACAGATAAGTAAATTATAAGAAAGCAGGTGTTAAAAAAAAAAGGAAAATTACATCAAACAGAGTAAGCATCAAATATTTGATGAAAAGTATCTGACATCAACCAAACAGTCAACAATGAGTACGCGGATAATCAGTAAAGAAGAGGGCTGAAACTCTTTACGAGAAGAATAGGTTTCGAAATGATCATGTCATTAATGGAGTAATTAATTGCAAGTCTCAAATAAAATGTTCAAATCAATAAATGCAAAAATACCTCAATGTAATTGCTTAGAAGTTACAACAAACTCAAGAAAAGAAAAGCGAAATAAATTTCGAAATATTTAACTGATTGATTAATAAATAAATTGTAGGGATTTTTTGAAATAATATGATCTAATAGAATGGAATTGATGTAATGCAATATGGATGACCATAAATGATCAAAAGTCATGCGATGCAGATGACTAATTATCGTCGCAAATGGAATATTTGGATAAGGCTATTGCTCTTTTCTTGTCGCATAATGAATGAGTATGCGCAAAATGAAGAAAGCATTAGAAAAAAGGAGAAAGATTGAGTTGTCTGTAATGTAATATAAAATATTTGTATAATTGGATTGAAATGACCTTGTCAGTTTCGGGCTGAAAGACAGGAAAACGGGGGGGAATTGAAGAGGAATGGATACGTAGAAAGGGGACAACCGGGTGAAAAGGTGAAAGGCGGAAGGTTTCTTTTCGTCCCTTTGCCCTTCCTCCATATACCCCAGAAAATGCTATCAAGTTGAAATTTCAATTTGAAAGCGCATTGTTTCCATAATTTCGTTCCCTTCTTTCCAATGGTATCAATTTCCCCAAAATATACATTGTTTCCTTCATGCAGTAAATATTTCTCTCTGTTTTTACAACATTCTTTACTCTTTTAACGATTATAATAATAATTTGACAATTTATACAACTCATTCATCAAATTTATTATCAAATTTATGTATGTTTGATTTCATTTCCAATTTTAAATGCATAAAGAATAAATTATAGATTTGTTTTAACAAATTAAAAATTGGATGGATATTTTGTGATTGAAGATATATTTATTTGCATTTAGTTATTATTTCATATTTTTTTGAAATCTTAATGAGCTTACTAAAAATATGCTAAAAAAACAAAACACTACTAATGAAATTAATTTTTCCTCTTTTATTTCTAGAAATTTAATAAAATTTCGTCTTCTTATATTTTGACAACATCACACAGAATTAATGTTTTGTAAATATCGAAATATTGTCATACGTACTTACACTTACACATATATGCAAACATAAACTTGAAAGGCAATAATTTGCCTAAACTGCTTTCTCCAAGGTGAAATGGTCATTTATTTGAAATTTCTTTTAAAATAATAATTGGTTCAAATTTTGTTTCAAAAGATCCATACTTTTTAATTTTCCATAAACAGTAATAACTTTTCACTTTATTTACATATATATATATATAGATAGATAGATAGATAGATAGATCGACAAATTTTATAATTAATTCAATTAGTAAATAAACGAAATATATTTTATAGTAATAGAATGTCGTCAAGGTTATCACTGCAACTATTCGTATTGTAAAATCATGATTATTTGAATTAATTGGTTTTTTTTTATTAATGTACATTCGAATCATTTTGCATGACTTTTCTTCTGAAGAAATTCTTAAGTCCAATAGATAAAAATCAACTTTGAATTATCAATATCACTGATGTAATTTATAAATTAACATTATTTAACTTATTCTTTAATTATGTTGTAAAAATGTGTTCGATAAAAACCTATATGATAAATTTTTCCAATTTATAAAAATAAAAATTAAAATTATATATAATCCGTTTTCATCTTTGAAACAAAAGTTAATCAATGTTAAAAGAATGAAAGATAAACGAAATGATTTCCAACTATCCTTGAAATTATTCTTTTGAAGTTTTATCAGATAGAATTATCATTATCTTTTGTCGACAACCCATATTGCACGTTGAAAACTTGTTTCTCGACTTAAGAAAGAAAGGGAAGAAATAGGGAATGGATATTGGAGAAGAAAGCAATTTAACCATAATTTATGCAAATAGGTAATTATTGATTGATAACATTTCCAAGGTTTACCGGTTTTTTTTTAATCCTAGTTCATTCATCCATTTCATCCTTTTCCGGATCATCAACGGTTGGTCCAATGATCTCATTTTGATTTTCGCAATATTTATTATTTGCCGAGGAATTGAATGTTCCCAAAAAGGCAAATAAACCACCATTTCAAGGAATATTTTTGATTTTAATTGTTAATGAAGCATTTTAAAGGATGGTAATTAAATGATTCGGTTTTATGAAATCAATTCTGCTTATTATATACGGTTAACGATTGAAGAATGAAACATTTCAACTTGTTGATTTCTAAGCCTCTAAAGATTCCTATCCGTTGAAAAAGGAATAAAAGACAGATATAATATTTCATTTCAAATTTTCAAATAAATTATCATTTAAAAAATTAACATATCAAAATTGCATTTTAACTTAAATTTTAATTTATATTTAATAAATTTAAGACTTTTTTTTGAATAGTAATTATAAAATGAAACAAAATATTAAAGAAACTAATATTTACTTTAGAATTATTTAATTAATGAAAGTAATTATCACAATTTATTCATCGTTTAACATTTCTTTTCATTCTTCTCCCAATTAAGCATTAATAGATTAGCAGCATAAATTGTCAGACATAATATCACTCACAGTCACGACATTTAAAACCGGTTCCATCATTCATCATCGATTTTGGCACTATATCTTACTGTATCAATCAAGCGCTATCATTGTTATCATTATCACTACTATCTTTTTTTTATTTTTCACAGATTTATTGTTTATTGTTATGCTATTGTTTATATAAATGCAAAATATTAATTAATACTTTTTGTTAAATTATAAATTCCCCAATATAACAGATTTTCCTTTATATTATTTTGTATTTTCGTAAAAAAAAGCTTCGGCCAATAAAGATTAGATTTTCTAAATTGTATTAAAATGAAATATGAATAAAGTTTATCCTAAAATTAAAATTTTTCAAATTTGTTTTTTTACAGGGAAAATATTTGTCACTTCAATTTAACAATAAGCAACGTGTGAGTTATGAATGTTTTGGTAAGCGTTTCTTCTTCAATTGCTTAAAATCGGGATGAAAGAGCTAATAACTGCAACCTTAGACAAAGCTTAAAAATAAATGAATAATAGCTTGTAAATTCAAATCCAAACTATCTGGACATTTTCAGAAATCATTGATTCTTTTTCCTTCTTCCTTTCTTTATACTTTCACTTCCGGAATTAACTGTTCAAGAATAAGCAACGAGAATTTTGGTTAGTGAACATTTTAGATATCGATATTTCTGGCAATATTTTATCCATATCCAGTGATTATTAATGCTATATTACAACAGAATTCACCCGGTAGGCCACTGACAACATTTCCGGAATGCAGAAATTATGGCAGCAATACTGAAACTTTAAGAGGGTAAGGATTAGCTTTTTGTGAATTTTTAAAACAGAATTTCTCCTAATTTTCTTCTTCATCTTGATTCAGCTTATTTCAGCCCATTCTTACAATCCTATAAAAATATTGCTTATCCGGGTATCAAATTACGAATCAACAGGAATGCATTCCTCTACGGTAGTGCAATCATTGCACATATGCTGAATCAAGAAATACGGAGGATTCGAATACCATCGTTCACTCAATGCCTTCCGGAAGTGTGACAATTCACTTTTTTGTTTAATTTGATTTTAATTTTAAACGGAATTAATTTACATTGTAATTGTCTGATTAAATGTATGTTTATAATTTATTATCGGTAATGAAAGAATATCTCAAAATATATAGTTTTCTCACCGACTCTCTCAAATTAATTCCATTCTCTAAATCTTAATTTACTCCATTCTTCGATTTTTAATCAGAATTATTTTTTCATATTAAGGTAAATAATAATATTAAATATAATATTTTTCAACCAATCGAATTTTACTATCACTTCTCTCTTAAAATATGAATTAAAGCGAAATTTTTAGATTACAAACTTACTTTTATTGTATGCTAATAAGATTTTCTATAATTTCAAATTATTGAAATAAATATTTTACAAGCAATTTTTCAGGTTAATGGACGTGCTTGCCTTACAAATGTACTGGTAACAAATTACCGATGCGCTCAACATGTCTCATTATTTCCAATATCGCATAATCAAATTGCCCTCAATATTCAAAATTTTGATCTAAGGTTCTCATTCATTGATAATTTCATTTAAAATTAAGATTATAATAAGAATATGACAAAATTTTTGAATACTATAGAGCAAGATCGTCATTATCTATTCTAATACTTTCATAGTCCATTTAAACTTTTAATCATTTTCTGGATCTTATTAATTACTGCCCAATTGAATTTTAATAATTGTCAATTTTTAATTGGATCTTCTTGAAATAGTTCGAAAAACAAAGCATTTCTATTATCTATGATGTTAGGCTATTTAATTGAAGTTTTTGGCCATCCCTTCATTTAATCAAAAAACTTCATTATGAGCAACAATTTACACGAAACATAGCTTATGCTATCGGTAATTAAAACAATCGTTTATTTTCCAAGATGAATTCGTCAAAATTTTAATCTGATTGAATTTCATCACTGCAAAATTAAATTTTCTCATAATAGTTTATTGTTTTCGCTTTAACTTCTAAGCAACTCTTTCGCTAAGTTTGGCTTTGCTTTATCATTTTACAATTTCATTGCAAGTTTCGTAATTTTGCTTGTTAAGCTTTAGTGTTTTTAAAAATTCATTAAACTTCATTGTTTTATTGAAATTTCAGTTTGAATGGACAACTTGGCGGACAAGTCGTTGTTCTATTGCCTTTACCACTTTGTGGAACATTGTGTATCGATGCTAGACAGGTTTTTGTTCCCTTTCTCTCCATCCATTAATGCATCATTAATTTGCAAAGAAAGTTGAAAAAAATTTAATGAATAAATTTTTACAGATTTCGATATCATTGCAAATGGCAATTGAGCGTAATCCATATAGTGGCGCAACATATATTCGTATGACTAAATGTTCTTTGACACTTGGATATTTAAATATTCATATTATTAATGGCGGCATCATTGGTGAAGTTATCAACAATAATTTTCAGGTAATTCATTTCTTCATAATTAAAATAAATGTATAGTTTAAAACACAGACAGTAATTGGATAAACTTTTTAATTAAAAATATATTATCATTGACAATGATAAATGATAATATATTTCTAATATAAAATATTTTAAGAATATATTATCAAAAAATATCAGTTGAATAATTATTATGTTAATATAAGAAAAGAAAAAAATTAAATTGTTAAATTTTTAGGTACTGTATTAATTTGTTATAATTTGTTAAAATGCAATATTTTTTTGTCTTAAATTGTTTTTGAGTTAATAACAAATAAATAATTAAAGAAATTCTTTTTAGAAAGTTAGATCATTTCTTTAGTTGGATAAACCTTTAGAATAAGAATAAATAAGATTATAACACAGGATTATATCTTTAGAATAAGATTATATCGCAAGCTTATGCAACATTACCGGAAAAATTTTGCAATATGATACCATCATTGCTTGATCAGCATGTGAATTCTCGACTAGTTAATGTACCGCAATGGATCTCAATTACTCAGCTGATTTCATATGCTTCATTCTTGATCAGTAAACCGAAAAGGTTACCGGAATATGTAAGTGCAATTTTTCTTTTTTTGATAAATTTCCAAATTAAAGCTTGATTTGAATTAAACTCGGGACAAATTTTTGCATAAGTATTCGAAAGGGCAATATTATCTGAGAATTTCCTTCTGATATTCTTTTAGATATACATGAAACCTTTTTTAGGTATTAATTATTTAAATATGTTTCATTTTTGATTATATCATTTTTAAGTTGATAAATTTGAACGTCGTAAAATCAGCTTGAATTTTTATTAAATATTAAATAATATCCTTAAATGCTACTATTAGCATACATTTAAAAAAGGATATGTATTCCTGAGTGTCTGACAGATAATGACTATTTGAAAAATGGCCTAGCAATCATTTAATCATCGATTGGCTTAATAAACAAAAAAATTACTAAAATTACGACATTTCTTAATTTGACAAATTTTTTTCTTTAAATTTTTTTATTTGTGCAACATTATTAATTCAAATCAAAATGATTATTTCATTTCAGTGTTATTCCGATATTTGTAAACGCTATTATTCCACCAATATATCATTGACTAATAAGATACTTAATACAAAAACGAATCTCGCAGATGGTGTGCCAAATATAGTCAGCCCAATACAAAAAACGGCTGGAAACAATAAATCGTTAGCGACGTTATTTAATAATACGTTACCGGATATTGTTGCGTTACAAGAGATAAATGATCAGCAATCATCTGTACCTATAAGAATAATTAAAAAATTTCCTCAAAAGGTACAAAAAATTCAGCAGAATGTTTATTGGCGAAGAACAAAAAGAAATGTAAGTGAAATAAATGAATTTAATAATATTATAAGTAACAAAGATATGTTTGATGAATTAACTTAATTATGCTTATTTATTTAGCTTAGAAGTTGTCAAGAAATAAACAATAATTACAGATTAGAGCGGCAAATGTGAAAAATAATATGCGACAACAATGTGCTAATTGTGATTACGAGAAAAATGAAATAACGTCATATTATGTTGACAGCATTATGAATAATATTCAAGTATGTATGGAATTTTATTGATAAAATAACTTTAATGTTAATCTAATAAAATTTAAAGTAATTTAAAAATACGGAAGAAAACAAATCCGAAGAAAATATTTTTAAAATGAAACTTTTTAACATAAAATATCATTTCGAGAAAATTTGCAAAAAAGTAAAATTTGCCTGAAATATTTTTAGATTTAATTCGATAAAAATAGAATATAATTTGCATTAAAAAATATCAGCAATAATAAAATACTAAACTCTACCGAGAAATCTCAGTAATTTCAATGATAATACTTCTTATGGCTATCTTGTGAATCCATAAACGGGCTCTTTCAGATTTGCGCTTCGAACTTATTTCTATCAACATATTTTTTGGGTTCATCAGCGATAAATTCTGGTTTAACTCTTAATTTATTAGGAGAATTTAGTCCGAATGCACAAGGTGGTACACCTTTTGGGCCACCATTATTGCAATATCCGGTATTAGATAGTGGAAGAATGTTTGATATTCTTATCAGTGATTATACATTCAATACATTATTTCATCATTTGCATAGGTTTGCCATTTTCTCCAAATATTTCCATACATATGCTAATAATCGTATTTACAACAATAGTAAATTAGGATTACGCTGGTAAATTAGAATGAATTTTATGCTTTAATATATCAAAAACATATTCATATCCATTTCTAAGCAATTTTATGATTGAAAGAAGTTTGATTTAACTCAAAATGAATATTTAAAAATCTTTTATTTGATATTAAATAAAATATAATTTTTATCAGCCTATGAAGAAAAATTAAAAAAAAGAACAGAAATGTAAATTCTTTTAGGAAAGGTATTTTTATGTTTCGAATCGGTCCTGAAATGCCAATTATTGGTGATTTATTAAATTTAACATGCTCAGCGAATGATATCGATTTTGAATTGAATCTCGAATTACAGGTTTGTGAAAGCAATATATTAATGAATGAAGGAATTTTTAGCAAAATTTAAGAAGTAAATAATTCAAAGTTAATTAGCACAATGTATGAATTAAATAGGTGAGTACAAAGTTAATTATTATAACGGATTGATTAATAAGTGAAATGTAATTAGTAAAAGTAATTACTAATTTGCCAGTTGTTTTAAATTAAGCAAGAGTTTTCAATTTAATAAACAAAATAAAAGCTTAAAAGACGAAAAGGAAATTTACAAGTTTGGGAATTGTTTTTTTATTTGATGTTTCATTTTCGTTTCTGATATTCATTATAGGTATATTTCTCTAAGTAATTCAGGATGAGAATAATAATACGACTTTGAATGAAACCGATTCGCAGCATGATCGTAAGAAACGTCGTACAACAATTGATACTTTCTTGAATTTTGGTATATGTTTGGGTGATATTGCACCAGAAATTCGTGAAAAATATCCTGGGAAACGAGTTTACATTGTCGTCAAAACAAACCGGGCACCATTCATACAATTTCAAGCTACTAATAGTGGTAAATTTTAGAATATTTGTCATAATATAACCTAAAATTTTTTCTTCATTAGACTTTATGTACTTCTGATACTATGCCAATGAAGAATAAATATATATATATATAACGTAATATAATGATGGTAAATGCTTAAATTTTAGAATGAAATTTTAAAGTTTTTAAAATTATTAAATTTTGATAATATTTCAGGCACTCTTATAATTGAATTTATAATAGATGGCATCATATTTTTGGAAGGTACCACTAAGAAAATTGGTCATATCCAAATTACAACTGCATCTGCAATCACAAGTCAACTCATAGGAAATCGAATCGTTGGCAAAGCACAAATTCAACGGATGGAATTTGTTGACGTTGATAAAACGTTTGGCCTTCCACAAGAAGCATTCACTAGTCTTTCTGATTTAGCTCGAGGAATTATTACTAGGGTAAGCATTTCAAGGGTATTTTTTTCAATAACTAATAGTTCCAAACATACGTTTCTACTGAGTAAAGGTCAAAGGTAATTTTCCACTTAGTAAAGTTTCAATGGCATTTTTCAAAAGTAACGATTTCACGAATTGTCAGGCAATAATCAATATTTTTCAAAGAATTGATAAAAAATTTAATTTTTTCTTTACCTTTTTCAGGCAATCAATAAAAAGTTAGCTTATGGAATTCCAATGATTATGCCAAACATAAATTTACCTGTTCAATTATATAATATTCATTTGCGAGTAATCGAACATGCATTATACATTACCACCGACGCTAATATTCCATCATTAGCATATCGTTCACCGTATCAAACATTTGCCGAATGTTCATATTATTATTAAATATTATAGTTTGAAACGAATAAAAAAATTGTTTACTGTAATTAAATTTTAGTATTTCTACATTTAATTGAATGAATGAATGTAAAATAGAATTTTACTTTATTCGAAATTGTTTTCATTTAGAATATTTCTTACGATAATTCTCATAGAATTATTACTGTTAGCCATTAAGAATTCTACCTCATCCAATGAATGCTTTCAGTGTTTATGCAAATTTTTTTTCATTCCTTTACATATTTATGTATTATATAAAGAAATATTATTTTGTTAACAAAATGACTGATTCAAACTTTTCGAAAATACTTTTCATAACAATGAATTTTAGTAAATAAAAGAATAAATTCAGAAATGGTTCATTGATAAATTTTTGAAATTTGAATTACAGTAATTCACGTTGCAGAAGTTAAGTTATATTTAACATGGATGAATCAGCTAAAATATGCCACAATTTGTTAATTTATTTTTATTAAAATTTATTAAATGTAATTATTGATTTAAAATTAATTAGGCTAAAATATATCCATTCATTGTCTAATGGTTTATTTCATACTGGTTCGTGCACTGATGAATGAATTAGATATAACAATTAATTAAGATGTACAGGAATGCATAACAAATTTTGCAATTCTGAAATAGACCTAAGGCTATTTGATTTTTCTTTTTGATTCCATCATATTGAATTGAAATTTTCGATGGTTTGATATGTCGTTAATGATCGAACATATTTTTTGCTATACTATCATCTACGATTATCCGTGATGTTTTGTTGATGTTGTGACATAAGCGACACGACTAAACTATATCATATCGATTGTGTTCCTATTACGATCACATCGCCCTTCTGAGTAGGAAATTCATAAATTTTTATAATGTCTAATTATAACTGTCTAATTTGTCCACTATATTTTTATATGAACAAAAAATTTATTCAGATTCATGATATGAATTGTTACTGTTAAGCAAATACCAATACAAATGTAACATTGATGCTAAAGATGACAGCAGCTAAATGCTTTAACAAAAAAACTTCACAACCGTAATCGCCTTTCTTTTTGCTTTTCTTTTTGTTTAAATATTAACAAATGAACAGAGAGCGATATGAGGATATTTAACGTTTCAATTATTCCGGAAAGACAAGTCAGGAAAAGGAAGATGAATCAAAAAATACTATGCTTTTATTGCTATCGATTTATTTTGGTGACATTTTTTGTTTTTTTAAAAAAGTGAAATGATTAATGAAGAAATCTTAAAGCATTAAGGAAAAGAAGAAAAGTATGAATAATCCTCAATTTTATCAAACAGAAAGTCAAAAAGAAATTTTTGTTTAATTTGAATAAATTCAAATTTGATAAAATCGTTTTTGGAAGAAGAAAAAGAGAAAAAGATTAAGAGAAAAGTTTTATAACAAAATAATTAATTCCGGCAAGTATCACAGCCCAAATTGATAATCATTTTACACGTGGCCAAAATGGACTAGAGAAAACTTACACGTAAAAATACAAAACTTAGTAATATATATGAGACATTTACAATTTCAACATTTAATTAAATTAACATTTATCTTACATTATATTATTAACATTTAGAAAATTAACCAAAAAAAAACTTAGATAAAAGAAGAAGAGGAAATAATACTAATTTAAGGCAAGACTAGGAATTTCTCCTTGGTTTAATGACAGATCGTATACACGTCGATTCTTCATGCTTTGATAAGTAACTTTTTAATGCGAAACCTTTTCCACAACGCTGACAGATATACGGTTTGACACCTGTAATGAAATAAGTATAAATTAGAATAAATCATAATTTTCACAAATATTCACGATTTAGAGAAATATTGTGATAAAGTTATTAAGAATAGATTAATAAAATTTATTGATTTAATAAAACTGTTGAAATCAATTAAATGGGCTAAATCATTTTTAAAAGTTATGGCATCGATAAATTTAAATATTTCATCGAATTTGATTTTGCCTCATTTAAAAGCTATTTTTTCATACTCACTCTTAGAGATATAATATCAAGAGAATGATAATTGTACAGTAAGAAGTGTAGAATTACTTCACAATTAGAGTACCGTTTAGATAACCCGGTTACCAGTATTGTAACAATATAGAAGAAAAATTTTATAAGTAGAGAATTTAATAGTAAATGTCATAAAGAGAGTAAAATATTTTAGTGAGTAATTTTAAATCAAAATAATTATAACTAATCTTAAGAAGAGATTCTATTGTTAGGAGTTTAAGCGAAAGTATTATTTTAAATGATTTAATATAGGCTTAGTGCTAATTTCAAGTTTCTACGAAATAAAAAAGTGTCAAATTAATTTGCATAAAAATGGAGCTCTGGAAGAAGCATTACTTACCACTATGCGTTTGCACATGAGCGCGTAGATTACTTTTATCCGCAAATGCTTTAGTACATACCGGGCATTGAAATGGTTTTTCACCAGCTAAAAAAATGAAGCTAACTTTCATTTTAAATGATTATAGCAAAATACAATTTTTAGAAATCAAAATTTGAAATAACTAAAATCGTAAAAAAGAAATTTAGCAATTTAAATAATATCTTAACCAAAATAATATTTCACTTAAAATCTAAATTTAATATGCAATTATGATTAGGAGAGGGAGAAAGTTTAAAAATTCCTTCTAAGTCATGATTATTCAAATAATTTATAAATATAGTTACCAGTTTCCCATTACGAGAAATCTAATTTGATTCAGTAACTTACTGTGTGTTCTCATATGTCCTTGAAGAAGCCAATGCCTTGTGAATGTTTTCCCACATACAGAACATTTGCAAGTGCTAACATGTGATAATCCTGCAGAATTTCCGCTTCTAGCACTAATTAAACCGGATTCGGTTTTTTTTCGACGAGTACTACTTCTTTTAGTATTACTCCTATTAGTAATACTGGTACTACTGCTACTGCTACTTGCATCGATATTGCTGCTACTGCATGCAACAGATTGCAACTGTGGTTGTTGTTGATGCCATGCCATATGAATCATCAAATCGGTCGGATTCAGGTAAATGTTTTTGCATGATGGACATTGTAAGGTTGGAGACGGTGTCAAAGGTTTGAAAGCTGCAAGTTTAGCAAATTATCAGGATTACAATTTCAAATAATGATCAGCTATTATAATACTAATTAAAAATTATCATTACTATGATCATGAATATAAGAAATTCATAATGTGATATTTGGTACTACTAATGTGGAAAAGATCACCCTCATATACGTCTACTAATAAATTTAACGTGCAAATTTGTTTCGCGATGATTTCTATTAATTTTCTTCCAGTATCTGTCGTAATAACGCTTATTGTCTTTCTAATATTAATGAGGAATAATACCACAAAGTTGTGATAAAACAAATACTATTTGATGGCATTCATAATTCTGGCGATTATTTTCACATACTTTTAGCAATGACAGATAAGAAGATCTAATCCACGTCGATTAGTATAGTAATTCTTATACAGTAATACTTAACAGACACTTGAAATGTCCTCGTTTTGCATCCCCTCCTCTTTGGTCTAATCCATCTTGATTTCTTTTCTTATATTCTCTATCATCTGAATCCATCATGCGATGTTTTTTATTCACTACTATCTTCTGGAGTTCTCAAAAAAATTTTTTTAATTTCAACTAAACTATTGTAAAAGTTATTTCCAGTAGTAGTTCTCATTATTCCATCATCACTGTGTGTTCATTTCCTCTGTCTGATTCATTTTGAATGTGACTGGCATGAATTACAACCATATACTCATTAAAATTTTTTATTGAAATGAAACTAAAATTATAAAAATTTTAGGAAAAATGAGATGAAATATGGTTTAAATCAAAACTATTAGAAATACATAATATATTATATGATATAAGTGAAAGGAACACACGTTAACTATATTAATTATTACCCATATTTTCAATAATATCTTCCTTTCAAGAAATTTGACACAGTGAAAAAAAGAGAAGAAAAGAAACAGAATTAATAACTTACGAATATTCAAAGCATTAAAATGTGGAAATTGCATTGGTCTAAAAAGCGTATTACCAAAATAATGAGGTGGAAATGGTGGCGGAAAAATATAAGATGGTGGAATGAAAAATTTGAATCTTTCCATGGGAAATGATACTGATGGTGGGAATGTAAAGGGAGAACTCATTGGCGGATATCCGGAAAGTAGGCTAAACCGATCCAGTATTTATATGATTCCGTCTTAAGTGACCTGAAAAATAACATTCTTTTTTTTTAAAAAGTGTGTTTATAAAATTGTATATTAAGATATCACGCTGTTTTTCTTTATAAGTAAATAAAATCATGATGATTTTTACAATTATTTCGTTCTCTGAACAACATTTCGTAGAGTTCGAACGAAGCAAAGGAAAAAACAATCCGAAAAATTTTCAAGCATTTCAATAAATTCATAATATGAATTCATTTCAATGATAAGCTGGAGGATATCCAACATGATAAGTTAAGCTCGAAGTGCAATTCGACCAGTTTTCACATCTTTTTCAACATTAACAGATCAAAACTGTTAATCTATATTTTAGTAGATTTATTTGGTAAGCCATATCAAATGAAAAGAGATAATTTCTTAAAAAGGAAAGTTCTTCTTTTTCCAATGAAAAAATTTCTCATTCTTCCCGATTATATTTATTTCAATTTAAATGAAATTATTTATTTGCTTCTTTCTTTCCACTTACGAAAAGCAAATAGTACATTTAAATGAATTTTACAACTTAAAAATAAATGACGATGGTATATTATCCTTAATGAATGGTACCCGTGTGACACTATTACTAAAATTGAAGTACAAATTTTTGAACGAATTCTGGGATACCGTATTCTTGAGATATATTTCTGACATATTGGTGATGATAAGTGGTAGTGGTGGTAATGATGGTGATGATAGGTGGTAGTGGCTTGATAGTAGGCGTTACCGACCCACTTTTGCATCCTTCTTCTCCCTCTCCTTCATTTCTATTAGGCAACAGCAAATTCGTTGCTAAAAGTTTAATTTATAGGATAGACCGGGAAAGCGATAGAGGAGGATAAAAGAGCACACACACAGTGACATACAGACATAGTTACAAAATGCACACATTATCCTCATAATTATCAATGTACACCAGATGTGTTACTCACAAAGGTGTGCTTTTGTCAAAATTTAGTTGAGATTTTGAAGATGAAAAAACGAACGTTTAGTTAACTTTTGAATTTTGTTGAAAGTGGAAATATTCAACAAATTTGCAATTTCTATTTTAGTAATTAAATTTCGTATTTAAATTTTAAGTAAATTAACAATGAATGCAATTTTTTGAATGAATCCAAATTTTATATCAAAAATTATTTATCGGAATTAATACTGAAAATCATATCAATTTGTGATATTGATTATATTGATAATGTAGATGAAATAGGATACGAAGTGGCTTGCCGATATTTCTCGGTAGAACTGTCTCTGCTAATTCCAAAAATAATATTAGAAATAATTGAATACTTGCTTTTTATAGTATTGCTACTTGCATAAATTTTCAAATACTTAATATTGTGTGATGGAACATGTCAACTGGATCGAAAATTTGTTTGTCAACAGACATCAGAAAAGCACCAAAACCGTGTAAACAAGCATTTTTCATTTCGCTAGTAAATCATTTTGAACCCAAAGGTAACAAAACAATCCAGGATAAATAATAATTCCTAAGCTTCCATTTCTATTTAAAATAAGAAAACAACTTCTACTAATTTCAATGCACATTTGAAAGTTATGTAAATTTATTATTGAAAGTTATTATTGTTATTGAAAGTTAAAAATGTTTAAAACTAAAAGTTCAAGAAATTACAAACCATTTGATAATTAGTAAACTAATGAATCAACAGCTTGTCGAACAAAAATTATAAGATTTATATTTGCAGAAAATCAATGAAGCATGTTTTGCAATTAATAAACAATAGAAAACTTAATTGTTCCAATTTGAAAAACATTATTCTTATATCCAAAAAAAATTATCAAGTTATGTTGATTTCTTCTTTTTTCAATTAAATTAATTTTCAACATTTGCCTCAGATGGATCGGAATCAGTTAACACTGATAAAATTGTTCTCGAAAAAGTTATAAATAAAAGAAAGGAAGATAAATAAAACGAAACTTTTTTGCTTCAACAAGAATTCATCTAATAGCATATCATTTTCATCATAACATTAATCAATCCATCCATCCATCCATCGAACACATTCACATCCTTCCTTCCACCTCTCTCTTCACATCATTTCAACATTTCTCAAAGCCATTACCATAAAATTACATTTATTAGTTTAGAAAAATTTTTCCAAACACAATAACTACCAACGGACTAAGCCAATGAAATTAACCCATTGATTGATTCCCATTTGCTCAAATTTTTTCCTGAATTTTTTGACCCATTCGGATAACTGTAATGAATTCGATTCAACAACTAATTAACACATACAAACAACAATACCATATGGATTTCATATCTCATTTTAGTCGACATTTTACATCCTTTCTATTTCCTCTTTTTTTCTCGTTTCTTAACAAATATTTCTTGTAACTGTTTTGGTTTCAATTATTTATCTGTCAATAATTCCCGTCTAATCAGAGTAATCAAAATAAATTTTGCTGGCAAAATTTTGATATAAGAATTATTGAAGAAATTTTGATTACGATTTTTAAAAATTCATTTATAATTCTAAAAGTCATTTTCAAGTCTTTTTTCTTGATTATTCTCGAAATTTTATTCGGACATTCCTAAAATTTTGACGGATGTCAATGTCAAATTTTAATAGTTACTTGCTAAGATTCCAACGAATATTATTGAGCTATTAGTGACTATTTCTTAAGATCCAATAAATATTCACGGGATTTTAATATGAAGGATTTTCAATCAATTAATAACAAATTTCTGCAATGTGGGAAAAAACAAAAGTTTGATAGATGGAAGAAATGAAAATTGAATCTGACGAAATAAAACGACAAATTTCCAAAAGGAAACTTTAGCAATCTTTTGTTGTTCGTAAAAAGCAATTGATAATATAACGAAATGAAAACTCTCTGACACATCTAATAATATTGTCGAAATTTATAAATATAATATAACAAATTTCAGTATATCGAAATATGTTGCAATATTATAACGACGAAAAAAGTACATACAATGAACTAATCAGAAGGAAAAAGTAACTTAAAAAGTTGCAGCATTGCAATAATTACCTAATACATTCTAAAAATGAAAAAATTCTACTAATCTTATCATTTAGAATAATTAAATATCATAGTAATAAATCTTCTTAAAAACATCAAAAGAAAGCAATTAATCAATTAACTAATATCTTAATTATTGGAAATGACTGTCAGCAAATATTTCATGCATATATATAAATATGTAAATAGATAAAGAACAAATAACTACAAGAAGAAAGTAAAATAGTAAGAGGTAAGAATATCAGGAAGTATAACTGTCTTGTCTAAGGAAGGATTAATGGTTGGCGTCAAGTTGGTGGGTAATCGCAGATCATTTCATATATAATATCATCCAATAAATGCTCTCCCCCTTCCTTCTTAGTATATCGCGGAAAAAAAACTTTGAGGGTAATGTGAACCACTCGTCGTTTATTTCTTTTTTTCACCTTTCTATCAGTTCCTTTTTTTCTCTCTTCGAACTTCTCATTTCTTTCTTTTCCCTTTCTTTTCCTAAATTATTACAAATAAAAAAAATCAAATATCCGACTTGTGGTATCCATATGGCTATTTGGCTATTTGGCTATTTGGCTATTTGGCTATTATGAATAAATTATCCGAAGGTTAATTTTAAGGTAACTAAAAGTGCTAAAATAATTTCAATCAAATTGAGAAAACAAAAAAAAAAGAAATGAAAATGAAAAATGATCATTATTTATTTATTTATTTATCATGAAGTTGAAAATATTTTTGTCCACCAAAAACAATAAGATTGACCACTGTCCATTTATCATAAGATTGAAGATATTTTTGTAGACAAAAAAAGTAAGTACGAACGAATGATCAACGTCTGTGTCTTAGTGGGAGAAGCGAAATGACTATAAAACATTTATGATGATGTTGGAAATAAGAGATCAGATGTTTCAAAAGAAAGAAATAAAATGACCACTATCTACTTCTTCTAAAGTTGACCAATAAGAAGGAAGAAATGAAATGACCAGCGTACACTTATGGTAAAGTAGAGATTTTGTTATTTTATAAATTAAGGTAAAAGGGATAACAAAAAAAGAGATGAATTTTTTTATTCCCTTAAAGTACCATTTTAAAGGTTCATAAATCAATCCAAAAAACATTCATCGATTACAGTTCGATCGGGTGTAAATGAAATGAATGGGTGGTAATAGAAGGAGAAGTTTAAGCCGACGAAGAAAGATGTGAAAATTGTGAATTCTACTCCTTTTGTTAGTTTAGTTTAATTTAGTTTGTTTTCAACTTATATTTTCAGTATATTTGGAAAATGTTATTTTTCTCTTTGATCTCTTTGTTCATAATTCATTTGCACATATCCATTTAAATTAATTTAACTACTCATTATTTCATTTAACTGATAATAATAAATTATTAAATCGATAATTAAATAGTCAATGATCAATAATGGAATAATCATTAATCAATAATTGTTTTAATCCTCTTTTCCTTTTTTTCTCTTCTAATATTACCATTTAATATTACCATTTGGTATTTGGTTAAATAAATTACTAATTTTTTTAAAGAATATATGAAATATTCTCGAGAAATAATAGAATCTAAGATAAATTTAGACAGACAGGTAAAACAAAGTTTGCTACTTAAATATATAACATTGAACTAATCGAACTACGACTTAATTCACTTCTTCCTCCTATTTGTTGATTTTACGATGTCAATTATGTCATAAAGTTGAAGTATGAAAATGATAAAATTCCCTTAAAACTTTTTTTGAAAATCATTTTAAATTTTGCTTTTGACTATTTTAGCGCTCTATTAGATAGATGTTAATTAAGGTAAAGAAGTGATGAAAGAAAATCGAAGCATCACTTAAAGTCCAGATTTATATTAGCTAAGCCTCTTCATGCACCATTATTCATCGTCTAATCAGTTAATGATAGTGATAAATAATATTATCGGGAATGTTAATTACTCTTAGGAAGTTAAGGAGGAAAAGTAACAAACTTAAATGCATTATAAGATTTATTAAAATGAAAATTAAAATTAAAAAATTGAACAAAAAATCTTTTTCCATATTTCATTTCATACTTGGGAAAAAAGTTTGTGAGAAAAAATTTATCAAAAAATAAAATTTGGGATAGAAAAAGAAGCTTGAGCTACCGATGAGGTGGCCAGCAAAATTAAAAGCAATGATCATCGTGTGATCTGCCAGTGATTGTAATTACCGAATTGATATAGTAGCCTTTATTAGATGAGGATAAATGAAAACAAAAAAGATGGCTATTAGGAGGAAGAGAAGGAGTAAAGGAAAGGAAGAGAAAGGAAAGGTGAAAAGCATAAGAATTTGAACCGATATACTTTGATTTAAAACAGATCAAAGGAGGCCGCAATTGTAATCAAATTAGGGTATCAATAAAGATGTCACTCTACAAGTTGACATATCGTATTGATAAAGGATAGAATATAGCAGCACTTCCATCATTACCTTCACTTTTATTCTGTCAAAAATTGCTACCATTTATTGATGGTCATTTATCACGTGGTTCTGATGTAATTACTATTAATTAATTGATAAAATTATTTCTGATTAAATATGTTCAATTTAATTAGGATAGTGTTAAGAACAGAAAGATAAAATAGGAACAAAATGAAGAAAAAAAGGGAAGGTTTATGAAATAAAT